TATAAAAAGTAGCGTCTTTATTCACCTGCAGCATAATTCAACCCTTTCAGGCACATATTGCTTATGTCTACTGTATTTCTACTATGTAGTTTTCTCTGGTAAATTAGAATGTGGCCCTACAGGAAACTAACCTGGGGCAAGACTTACCTGTGTTAAATTTTTAGCTCACAAGTTACATTAAAGCAAGTAAGTACATGTGTATTTTATATGTATACATACATAATGGGGAGGAACTTCAATCTCCTTTCTGCTTACAAAAAGACTGCATTAGCAATTTTGAAGTGGCTTTTTCTATAGTGAATTGCCCTGCTACTTAAAAGATCCCTTGCCATGGGATTCTCCTCCTCTTTTTCAGGATGGCAGCAACATAGCAGTTAAGGGTTAAAAGCATAATGAAGATGCCTTATAACAAAACAATATATAGAGAAGCAATAGCAGAAGTACTGTGGATGGCTATTTATTAGCCCTATATACTTTGCCAAATAAATGGTACAGATACACTTAAACTGTTGAGGTATTCATCTTGCTTTGTTAGTAGACTTTTCCCATCCTTTGGCTTTAAGTTGTTAACTTCTTGTGCAGCTAATGCCAACGTGCATGTCCTTTAGAAATTCATTAGAAGGATGTTCTCTGTTCTCAGTTGCATATTAGAAGTAGTTGAAGAATTTGGAGGGCTTCCAAGCTGTTGGAAGTTTCCCTTTCTCTGCTATGTGTATATCAATTTTGTGTGCATCACAGAATGGCCCAGGTTGAAAGGGACCTCAAGGATCATGAATCTCCAATGCCCCTGCCACATGCAGGGCCACCAACCTCCCCATTTAATACTAGACCAGGCTGTCCAGGGCCCCATCCAACCTGGCCTTGAACACCTCCAGGGACACGGTATTCACAGCCTCTCTGGGCAGCTATTCCAGCACCCTACCACTCATAGTAAAGAGCTTCTCCCTGATATCCAACCTAAATCTTCCCTTCCTCAACTCAAAAACACTTCCCCTTGTCCTGCTCTTTTCTACCCTTTCAAAGGGTTGGCTCTCCTGTTTGAAGGCTCCCTTTAGGTACTGAAAGGCTGCAATGAGGTCACCCCACAGCCTTCTCTTCTCCAGGCTGAACAAGCCCAGCTCCCTCAGCCTGTCTTCGTGGGGTAGGTGCTCCAGTCCCCTGATCATCTTCATGGCTCTCCTCTGGACCTTCACCAACAGCTCCCTGTCTTTCTTGTACTGGAGTCTCCAGACCTGGACACGGTACTCCAGATGGGGCCTCACAAGAGCAGAATAGAGGGGGACAATCACCTCTCTGTCCCTGCTGGCCACTTCTCTTCTAATGGATCCCAGATACCATTTGCTTTATATAGCTGATCATGTTTTCAAGGTGCGTGCTTTGAAGGGAACGCTTATAAATCTGTCACCACAGGATTTGAAATGATAGCTTGGCTTCCACTAGAAGAAGTCAAGGAAGTCTTGCATCCCAGCTGCATTACAGAAAAACTCAGAATGTCTTCTAACTTTTGGTCACCTGGAAGCTGATCTAGAGCTCTTTCCAGGTTTCCTCCTCTACACAATATCCCACATACCCTGTCCCGCACAGTTCACCTTAGTGAGGATTTCCAGTTAAAAAAAAAAAGAAAAGAAAATAATTCTATGGCACAGTAAAACAGGCATTATTTGAGGACAGTGTCTAAGCACCACTTTTAAGCCCCCCCCCCCCAAAAAAAAATATCTCTCTTTGGAATGCTTAACATTTCTGTTTAGCACCTTGCACAAGGGACGTAGCAAAACACTGGATCATGTGTTACTGTGCAGTTCTGCAATGTGTGCATGATTGGTTTCTTTGCTGCAAAATCCCCTGAGCAGGGAGTGATTCACCTCTAGGAGGCTAATTTCTTAGAGTTAAGTGTAAGATTTTAATAAATAAACCCAAAAGTGAAGTACCCTTTTGAACAGCCCTCATGTCAGCAGGTAATATCAGTAATTTAGGAAACTCAAACCATTCACCATTCCAGTACCAATCACAACAATACATTGGATAGATTTTTGCTTTTTAAAATACATAAGCTATCTCTTGTTTTAATTAAGGCTTTGCAGTATTACTGAATAATTTGAACCCCAGAATACTGGAGATATGTTATTTAAAGGAGAAGCAGTCAAATATACTTCCAATTGATTACAAGTAATTTGCAGCAACAAAAACAAACAAAAACCATTTTCTACTGCAACACCATCCTCTCCTGGATGAGGATATGGAGAGAGGACTTTGAAAAAGTCCCTAGAAAAATTCCCTTACAGGTATTTTTCCCTTCCCTGTTAAAAATAAACATTTCTCCTCACCCTTCCTGTTAAGACTTTCTTCAGGTTTTGTAGCTTTGTCAGACTCTGTCCTCCGATTTTAGTTGTGCATGAGCCCATGTAATCCTCACAATTGTTTGCTATCTCCAGGCGTGCCAGAAAGTAGCTGAAAAATCCATAGCCAGTCAACCTATCCAGAAATACTATCCATACATTGTCTTTGCTTCCAGCATTGCTTTAGCCCAGACAGCTGATTCTTATGGCTGGGAATAGGATTTGCTGTCCTGATAGAGAATCTATGCCACCCAAGAGCAGTGAGAGCAATTCAAGCTGTCTCCAAGGGATGACTTTTCTCGTCACTACTTGCTAGGATAAGTGGACTTTATTTCTCCTGACTTTAAGGGAGAGCTTAATGGAAGTCAGATGGGAGTATGTATTGTAGAAAGTCTGATGATGGAAAGAGAAATTAAAAAAGAACAACAACAAAATTAAAAAAACAAACAAACAAACAAACACATACTTAAACAACTACCTCTATAGTATCTTCTAATGAAACTACGCCTTGTCACGGACAGAACACTTAGAAGTAACAAAGAAAAGAATAGGCATTGTTTAAAGCTATTATTTATAAATCATCTAAATTTTTAAAGGTTAATTAGTGTAATTTATCCATTTTAATTATTAAAAAGAGTTATTCACAAACAATAAATGCAAGAGTTCAATCTATTTTATTTCCACAGTTGATTCATCCACATCTGTTTAGCTTTTTATGACCATCTAATTGATTTGTAGAATTCTGTCCAGTACAGATGGGCTACTGCTCATGACTATTTTCATACCATTTATATTATTGTTGCTTTGATTTTTATTCAAGGCCAAACAGAGGAGAACAGGAGTGCAATGTTCACCTAAACATAACAATGACATTAAATTTCTATTTGGCTCTGAGACAAGAATAGATTTGCAGAGACAATCCACTATGAATACAAATAAGTTGTTTATACCTAAGTATAATAAGAGTTCTTACTTAATTATGACCTATTTTACCAGTTCTACGCTATGCTCTCTTATTACTAAGTTTTGTAGCAACAGCCAGGCTAAATCAATTGTCACAGACTCATTTGACTGAAAACCAGGATTACACTCCTACTAGTGAAAGAATAAGATCCCCGTCTCTGTAGCCTGCTCTGTACCTGTGGTAAGCCTGCACATAAACCTACAAGGATGCCTCATGTAGCTGTACAGGTATACACTATTGTAATGCCGTAATGCGACAACATGATGGAAAGTACAGCAGAGTGGCACAATCCTAGGCTGCAGCAAATGAGAACAAGCCCAAATGCAGCAGCCATGAATGCAGAAGCAAAGGAAGAAAAACTGCTTACCTTTAGAAGGCAGGGATCTTTAGTGAGATGTCCTCACTTCCAATGCCACCTCTTAAATGAGGCCTGGGAAGGGCTGTACCCTGGCTCCACCCCTTCTTGTCTCTCAGGTTCATTCAGAAGAAGCTCATTGTATGCAGGTGAACTCCCCTGGGTTGGCTCTGCCTTCCCACTAGGTGCTCAATCACCATTTCAGGCTGTGACTTAGTATTTCCACTACAGCTATTTTGTATACAGTTCATACATGCAGGTTTTTGCATGCAACTGATACCCTCCCCTTTCTTTTGAATTGTCAGAATGATCAGGAGCTGCCTAGGTGTTCTCCACTGTACATTCCTCTTTCTTGTGGAAGCACATGACATGAGCAAGGATTCTACAAGCCAAGCCCTGCCCTGCAAAACTAGCTCTTGCTGTGGTTTGCATTTGGGGGTCTTCTGGATGTATAAGGGAGAAGCTTGAATAAGCTGCATTTTAAGTGTCTTTAGACATAAGGGATTGTTTTTAACCATAGACCACATATTGTCCAACTCATTCAATGAATGAAGAAAGCATCCTTATTCACTCAGTAATCCCAATCCTGTAATAGGTAGTCAATAGTTCATGCATGTCAACAGCCAATACTAGTTAATCTGAAGAAAGCACGTAAATTTTTAAGGGCCACAGGCTTCTGTTGCCAAGAGGGTACAGTGAAGCAAGTTCAAATCCTGAGCCCTTTCAAGAAAGCTTTATGAAATTAAACAAGTTGCACGGGTAATTGGCTTGTGTATGTGCCAACTTCTCAGAATTTGTTGTCACCAAAGCAGCCAAATAAAGGAGCTCCTCACCACAGCTGGAAAGCCCATATGACAGAAGTATTTCTTACATTTTTGAATCAGAGGTTCTTCTTTAGAGAGGTCACTATCAAAACTAACCATTTTGTATGCCTCAAATAACAAAGGAGGAAAAACACTACAAAGCTGAGATGTTTTGGAACACTGAATCAACCAGAATTCTAAAAGGTGCTGAGACCAATTTGCTTCTTACCTACAGACAGCAGGTGTTGATCCACCCTCACATTGAGTGAAGCATCAGTTCAAAACCTATACTCAGAGGAAGTGCTTCACTTCTGCTTTGATTTTACAGCAATAACACACAATGAGCAAATCATTCTGACCTGCGAATTCTGCTTTAATATAGATCTGTATGTGCAAACGTTATTGTACTGTCTTTTATCTATGTTAAAACATGCACCGCATACATCTAGCCTAATTAATAGGTAAGCAAGCAGCAGAGAATGAGAAAAATTAGTACAGCAAAGGTGAAAGGGTATTTCAAATGTAATTTGAGAAAAGGCAGAGTCAACAAGAGACAAAATAAGCTTGTTCCAGATGGCAGAACAACAGAAGAGAAGATACTTAGCCAGCAGATGCAGCCACAATGATAGGGAAGAGACCAAAATGATGCAGCCTAAGCCAAAGGAGAACACCATGGTCCAGCTTCACATGGATGCCACAGGCAAGCAGATGAAAACAAAGGAGCAGCAGTTTGATGAGGTAAACCAGTACTGGTTATAGGACTGTAGCAGCAGCTAGGCCATTGGTCACACAGATCAGATGTCTAAACGGTATCTTGTCACTAAATACATAGCAAGCAGTTTCCATGCAGGAAAGCACTATTCGTCTGTGGGAACATCTCAGTTCAAAGGTGTTTCTGATGACTCAGGGTTCTACTTGCAGTAGCAGCAGGTCTCAGGAACAGCCTTTCTCTCAGTTAATACCAATATCAAGTCTTACAACCAGAATACAGGATTTTGAAGAACCTAAGGAAGGAATCAGCTTCATAATCTAAGCTTTACGGAGACCATTATGGTTACTTCTGTAACTATCGTAATTTAGTCAGTTACAAAACATTTATAAAATCTCTTCAGTCATTCAGATGCTGCTGCACAGGAACTGTGAATTTTGCCTCATTGCCTACTCCTGAAGAATAGATTTAGTACAGCATTAGAAAAATAGGTTTACCAGCTTTAACACATCAAAAATAAACATACACCTAAACAAAAACAAACATACCTTTATGCCTAGAGCCCCCTTCCACCATCCAGCACCCCTCACCATATCCCAGCATACCCTCTGTGACCACAGCTGCTGTGATTTATTTTAGTCACTCCCATGCATGGCGATCCAGCTGTGTAGCCACAGCTACCACACCCGCTCATTCTCCCTTGCTGTGATTGCTGCTCTCATCTTTCCCTCTTTGGCCATGCTTTTGGTGGTCTTCCCATTATTTAGTGCTTTGACTGTGTGAAAAAGTCTGGTGGTCTTTTGTTATGGTGACATAGATATCTCCATTTTACAGCAAGTTGCCTTGGTTTTGTGTATGGTTCTGCAGTCAAGGAGTAGCAGCAAAGGGAGCAGGGAAAAAAACCACAAAGAATTCCCTTAAATGAATACAAACTTTTAAATTCTGGAAGAAAAGATGTTCTTGTGTTTAGTGCTGTTGAGATTTAGCAGAGACAAATCCTGTTCCCAGCACACCCACAATTTACCAGTGAGTCTCTGTACAAATTGTTTGACCTTTCCATGCTTCATCCTTCAGCTCCGTGTTGGTAAATGGGAATCACAAAGCTTTTCTGTCTCACAAGGTTGCTGTGATGATACATCAAGATGTGTTCAAGGATGTGTTTGGGTCCTTCAGCACTTAAAATTGTGCTACAACATCTAGCATTACCTAGAATAAGCAAGCATTCTAGTAGAACTGTTTTAATAATTCTGCAGAATGAAAAATGCCTGAGAGAAGCAAAAAAGAAAAAATATGTGCTTTAAATACCAGTGTTTATTTCTCTGAAATAATGTTTCCAAATTGAAAAGAATAAAGGAATGCAGAAAATATTGAAAAGTCATGAATCAATTTCAATCAATTTTAATTCCAGTATAAGAGGAAGTAATGCCACTTGTCGAAAACAAAGCAATCATTTCTGACAGCTAAATTTGCAAGACTTACTGCTGTCTGGAGAGAGGTAAAGCTAGATGCTTCTACCTCTGCATTAATTGACTTTCAGCACTATTTGATTTATTCTAATGAAGTTTCTCCATCTCCTGCAACTCCCACTTTTCTTACTTTCAAGAAGCATTTCCATTCAAAGAAATTTCTTTTATTTCTTTTATTTTCTCTAGATTTTAACTTAAAAAAAAAAAGCAAAAGTAGATATTTCGTATGATTCCATATTCTTATGAAGTGAGAAATTGATTTAGAGTTGTTACGTGTATAATCAATGGATATTAAGATGTTATAATCACAAAAAAAGAACTAGAGAGTTAGGCAAAGTAGACTAAGATAACAAGAGAGAATAAATGAAGGGCTTACCCATATGCTAGGCTCACACACAGAAAACACCAGAAGAAGAGATCTCCAGACAAGATCCTTGCCCACTGGTAGCCAGCTCTTAAATAGGTCTAGGAGCCAGGCTCCACCCCTTCCAGCAGCACAGGTGAATTGCCTTCACCTGTGCTCCTCTGGCTGACTCATGGCTCGCCTCAGGTGATCAATCAGAGGTTCATGCCATGACTCAGCAGTTCCCATACATTATGGAATTTTGGTTGACAGATGGCAGCAGAGGGGCAGACTGACAAAACTGCATCTGGCATGGGAGTGCATATGGAATACACACTGAATTTCTCCAGGCGGAAAAAATGTCACCCACAGCCATTCATCAGTGCCTGCTGAACATTTATGGGGAACAGCCAGTGGATGTGAGCACAGTGAGGCAGCGGGTGGTGCACTTCAGCAGAGGCAACAGCAACAGTGGGTCACCTCCACTGGTGCAGATTTTTACGAGTATGGCATGCAGGCTCTTGTTCATCACTTGTGAAAATGCATAGCTAATGGTTGTGACTAAGTCAAAAAACAGTGCTCTGTAGCTGTGCATTTTCTTTATCAAATAGTGTTATTGTGCTCTTTGTATTTGTTATCGTTTCCATGGAAATGCATAGAAAGAATTACTTTCAGAGCAACCTACATGGATCCGCAATATTGGCTCAGTGGAGACATGATGACTTTGTTAAGGACGACTTGAAGCTCCCAGTCTGCTGCTGAGTGCCACTCAGAGTGGGGTGGACAGCCAATCTCCTTAACGATGACCTGTGCTCCTTTAGTAGAGACATACAAGATATTGATGCATCCCTTTCCAAGACAGAAGCACTCTTAAAACACAGCTAGCCAGCCCACAAGGAGCCAGGAAATTCCTTGCTTGTCCACATTCAGCATGGGGAAATCCCAAAGGTAATGGCAGTAGGAAAGCCTGAGAATTCAGCTGGAAATGCCAAAGCTAAACAAAAAATAAAACTAAACAAAACCAACCAACCAAACAATAACTCTTAATTCATTTAAAAATACTTAATTAATAATCTATTTAATTTCATTTTAAAATTCCATTCCTCTAGATTATACATCAGCAGAAGATCCCAGTCAGTAAATTTAAAGATTTTAAGAGAAATTCAGTTACTCTATTCAAACAAGTGGATATAGATTTAGCTCTGCCTTTTGTACAGAATATGTTTTACACGTTTCTTCATTCACAGGAGGAAAAATATCTTGATCCACCAACGTGCCCAACACTTGTAATTCCTTGCAGTGCAATAAAGGAGGTTGCAAAGACTCTGTGCATCATTAAAGACTCATAGGAGTGGGTCTACCCTTTGTTACGCATGTTGAGACTGAGATCACTGTAACAAGGAACTTTTACAGCATTTAAAATACTGAGAAACAAGTATTTCATCTTAGATTTCACCTCCGATGTTCATAATTGCCAGTTAACTAATAGTTCCCTCCAAAGAGAGTCCACAAAGCAGAAGTATATTTTCAGACATTCAAGAGCCTGTCAACGTGACACCCAGTCTTCCAGGCAAATTCATTAGGCCAGAATTAAATACTTACTTTGAGGAAAATATAGGAAGAGAAACTTCATCCTTTGTCAACCACACTTTTGTTAACCTAGACTTTGCCACATTTGCAGCATGTCAAAACTGGTGCTTTCCTCAGCCATTGAGGCACCAAGAATGCATACTCATTGTTAATAAGTAGTTTCCGCTTGCATGTGACAAAACAGCTAGCTGGCTAGTCAGCCTCAGTCAGTGTCTATTTATGGCAAAATGTCAAAAAAGAATGTCCTGCATTTGTGGCTCAACAATAATGAACATGGCTAAATCTGAAAATTAACAAAGGAAAGTGAACAGCTTTTTAAATTCTGAAGAACATTAGATTCTGGTGTCCTTTTTGTTCCAATTGTTTTGGCTTAACCCTGTGAAAAGACCACCTGTTGGGCTGCCATTTTGGGATTGTATTAAATGCAGTGATTGCATGAAAGAACACTTTCCAAAATAACCTAGTATTATTATTCACTTATTTTATAGTAAATCTGCATTGAAAACCCACAGGAAAGTGTAAGGCTTTTTTTCCTAAGTGAAATTTAAAGCTGCAAGTTCTCTATAAATGCGCTTTTTTGCAGATGCATGATTTTATAGTGACAATCATGATACTTTAAAAGGAGCTCAATTAAACCTTTTATGCAGCAATAAGTTCCTGTATAATAGAAAACTACCCTTCTGAAGTAATAAATATAAGGGGAATGAGACTCTAAGTTATACATAGCTGAGAATCTGTGATGACTAAATTACCAAGGGCTACTTGCAAACAATTTAACTAAAATATTTATTTTTCTCCCAGATCAAATTTGAGAATTTCAGTGATACCAATTATTTTTAATGTCTATGGCAATGTTCTTGGATTTTTTTTTTTCAAAAGAGCACACTGAATGGCCCTAGAATTTTAGAATTTTGAAAAAGTTCACCATAAACCATTATTAAACTTTTACATGAAAATTTGAAAACTACATTCGTTTTCTAAAGTGTTTGTTTGTTCCTTTTGTTAATGGAAGATACTGAATCAGTTAAGTGATGATGATTATTTGCATCACAAAATCGGGAAATGTTGCCTCATTTAAAAAGACCAAAACTTAAACCCCAAAACGTCATTTGTCGCTTATAAACATCGAATCCTCCGATCACTCGTTTTTAAGTTCAAACAGATGAACTCATTCACACATTTTAATTTCCTGTAGAACATACAACCTCCCACATGATTCCATTAAACTCACCCTTTAATGTGTTAACAAAGCAAATACTTTCCACGAGTGTTAACTTCTATTGAAAACCAACATTAATAATGTTTGAATTAGAAAGGAACAAAGGAACAAAGATGTTTTCCTAAATGTTTTCTTTTTACACACTCCTGATGAGTTCTGAAATTATCTACATAATCTTCCATACATTATTTTTTCTTAAAAATAAACATCCACATAAGCTTTTTGGCATGCATTTTATTTAACAGAACTAGCAATGAGCTTTCTTTCTGTCTGTGCAACAGAATATGCACTTTCACCTTACAGTATTCAGCACATAATTCCAGAATCATTATAAGGATTTTACCTGGGAAAGGATTTCAAAATTGGAACTGGGTTGCCCGGGTAATTTAAGTGATAGTAACAACAGAAATCTGCGTGGAAAATCAGTCGTATTTCCATCCGCCTTCACTACTGTCGCTCACAAAAGTTAAAGCTGAAGCTCAGGAGTTTTGCATATTTTTCATCCTCAGAAATGTCAAAACAGTTGCAGACTGCAAAATGAGTCCTATATTTATTGTCATACCTGAGAGAACTTATGTATTTTATCTAAACAGAAATGTAGCTTAGCACTACCACTAATTTCAAAAGTTAAGAAGCGATTTTAAATACATCGCTATAGGCTAAAATGACTCTTATGAAACAATGGTTTGGTTAGGCAAACAAAACTGCTAGCCAAGAAGATATTTGCATGTGGAGTGAACTGTTTCCTATTTGAGAGGAAAATGAGTTTATATGTGACTGCTGGTTCAGTGAGGGAAAAAAGGTGAAGTGGAACAATGTACGAGTATAAATTAATGTCTAGGTTTATTGTTCACTGTAGCATAAAGAGTATGTATGTACTACACACAGCCATTGTGCCAGGGAATTACGGAAATGTAGGCTAGCAAACAAGAATGACTTATGTCTGAATAAAAATATGTAACTTTGGGAGAGACGCAGTGTGTTTGGAACCCTGAGGGTTAATGAGAGGTAAGCTGGTGAAGGGGGAGATGAGATAAGGGAAATAACAGAAGCTGAATAGATGAAAGAAGTGATTCAGTGGGAAGCATTGTTGATCACAGCTAGGTGTCAGAAACAAACTAGACAAACGGGAACTGCTTTAACATTGGCAAGAAAATAATAATAATAAAAAAGAACGTACACCACGTACTAAAAAGAAAAAAGAAAATAAGAAATAATAAAAGGCTTTCAGGCTTTCTTTGGACCGTCAGTGAAAAATAATGCAAGCAAGGAGGAAATAAAGCACTGAAATGGAATCCTCTCTAAAGGTATCTTGCGGAAAGGGGCTCACTGTCTCATCCTTTTCACATCGATTATTTAATTTTGCATTCTCTCTGTCTATCTTGAGGTACACTTTACACAGGTTACTTCTTTTTTTTTTGTTCATTTATGTAGTTTACACTGGCAGAAGAACAGTCAGAACAGAAGAAATTTAGGCATGAATTAAATTGTCTGGGTGTCCTTCACCAGCTTTTTTTTTTTTTTTTTTTTTTTTTTTGCCTGAAGTTTGAATTGTTCTCAAAGATTGAGTGGGATTCTTATTCATGAGTCTGACAGGGAACTTCAGTTCTTACAGTCCCTTCACTTTCTGTTCCTCTTATATAATCTT